AACCTTTTTCTACCAATAACCGCAAGAGGGTCCATAGATGCAAGACATCACAGCAGTCAGTGTAAAATGTTACCCACCAATAACCGATAAAGAAGACAAGTAATGCAGATTAATACAGGTTACAAGTTACTTGTATTTATCCATCTCCTTAAGGGTTAAGAACTACTAAAATAAGCTGCCACTAGCTGTTGGGTATTTATGAGAAATGTTGAATGTAAACAAAAACATGTTGCCTATATACACATCACCTCAAAAAGCAGGTTTGGATGTCAGAATTCAAAAAGGTGGCTTTCACATTCTGAAATGTCAAGTGAATAGTGATATCCCATTGAGGCACATTATGCTCTAATGAAAAGCCATTTCAGAGCAAAATATGCAGGCTAAACCCCGATCAAGTTGCATTTTACAGGGAATAATAACCCGAGTACATGTATCATAAATGCAGGTGCACATGTTGTTCTGCCATGTTGTGACAAGATTTTAATTGTACCCGTTTTGCTGAATCCCACTTGTTCTGTTTTCTAACCAAGTCTGTTCAAACTCGGTTATTACACTGATCTGGTTGTAAAATGTGTGCATGTAAAGGATGAGATACTTACAACCAAACTACAACTGCAGTGGAAGTGACTAAAAGCAGGGCCACAGCTAAATGCCAGCAGAAGCACATTGTGACGAACATGACGTTGGCGTGCTCGGTCAAGTTCCATTCCACTCCACTTGGTGAGTAAAGTACGAATCCAATCTGAAATGACAAATGTGTGATGAAGAAGCCAACTACCTATTATCATTATAAGCAAATGAATAAAAAAATGTAAGTTGACAAAAAGTTTGCACAAAGAGCAAGATCTAAGGACAGTCCACACAGATGGCACCGAACTGGCCCTGACGTGTGCAGAAATTAATGAAATCTACTGCTTGTCTAGAAAATGTGATTACACTATACAAGTAAATATTTTAAAAAGTGGTGTTGGTTCTCTAAGTGGTCTTTGTTTTAGTATTCAAGTGCCACGGCGATGCAGTGTTTAGCACAACGAGAAGGTTCCTGGTTTAATCCTCCTGGGGCATTTCTGTGTATAGTTTGCTTGGTCTCCCTGCAGTCCAAAGACGTGCTTGTTAGGTTAATTGGTGATTGTAATTTGCCTGTCAGTGTTTGTGGTTGACTGTCTCTATGTGATGGACTGGCAGCCTGTATAGGGTGTATCCTGTCTCTCATCCTGTGTCAGATGGCTGAACTGGACGGGTGGATAGATGTTGCTGGGTGTATAAACGAGGTGTTCTGCATCGGGATCTCATTTGGCTAATCACCTGGTAAAACCACGAACCCTGTAGGATGAACATGCATGACCCGAACAGCTCTAAAATAATGTTGTCTCTTATGAACATCTCCAGCATGATGCTGGCTGAGCCTCCAAACACCGCCACCAGGAGCAGGGTGTGGATGTGGGCGTCCAGAAGAGGTCGATTGTGCACATGGTAGTAAAACAGAAACCCTGCGTGAAATAGAGTCAAATACAAAATGTAGCTCAAATACACGTTAGCCACCAGGAATTATGGTGAAAAATATTGTGCAACTAAAACCTGGCTTTCTTACAGCTTACCTTCAACAAAAAGAGCTAACGAGAGACCAAAGCGGCCCACTCCTCTTGGCACCAGTTGGAATTTTGTACTTAAAATCAGAGCTATTCCAGAAATCCCAAAGAACAGATACATTGTGCTGTGCTGCCAGTTCATCAACTTAATCCACCCGCCGTCGTTGTAGAGATGAGCATGTGGCCCGTCCACCACAAACTGCTCAACCATAATACCTGTGACAGGACAGCATCAGTGAAATTAGAACAGGTGGACGCACACAACTGATGAATATATATTTACAGGAAAACTGACCAATAAAAGCAGCAAATATCTGGAACCCTCCTTCAATGTAGTCCAGTCTTTTAAAGATTGGCGGCAAAGTCTGCCGTCCTTTAGGCTGGTTTGTCCTCCAGTAGTGTTGGAGAACATATTTCACTGTTAGCCAGAAGCCATAGAGCAGGAAAAAAGAGCCAGGAATAGCGTGTCCTCCAAAGTTGGCCATTATCAGGCCTGAAAAAAGAAGAAATGCGCCTTAGTCATGTCATACATTGCTATACAAGTGTATTTGCCCCCTTCTTGGCTCAAGAGTTGGGAGTTCGCCTTGTAATCGGAAGGTTGCCCGTTCGAGCCCCGGCTCGGATAGTCTCGGTCGTTGTGTCCTTGGGCAAGACGCTTCACTCGTTGCCTACTGGTGGTGGTCAGAGTGCCAGGTGGCGCCTCGCCTCTGTCAGTGCGCCCCAGGGTGGCTGTGGCTACAATGTAGCTTGCCATCACCAGTGTGTGAATGGGTGGGTGACTGAACGTGTAAAGCGCTTTGGGGTCCTTAGGGACTAGTAAAGCGCTATACAAATACAGGCTGTTTACCATTCTTGATTTATTCATTTATTTATTTTTGCATATTCATCACACGTTTCATATCAAACTAATTCTAATTGTAGACAAAGACACAATTCAGGTTTTACATGATGATTTAATTTATTAAGGGGGAAAAATAAGTTTACTTACCTGGGCCTGTGTAAAAAGTAAATGCCCCTTAAACTTGATAACCGGTTGGATCAAAGTTAGGAGCAATTTGTTTTTGGATCACGGTCACTGAGTCTTTCACGTCACTGTGAGGAATTTTGGTCCACTCTTCTTTGCAGAATTGTTTTATTTCAGACACATTTGGGTGGTTTTCAAACAAACAGTGCATCCCAAAGCATCTCAATCTGATTTAAGCCCAGATTTTGACTAGGCCACTGCAAAACCTTCATTCTGTTTTTTTACTTTGGAGCCATAGACAGGTGGACTCGTGTTTCAAATCATTGTCATGCTTAAGTACACTTAAGCTTCAGGGCCTGACCTTCTGGTAGAGAACCGAATTCATGGTTACATCAAGTCTTCCAGGTCTTGAAGCAGCAAATCAGCCCCAGACCGTCGCAATACCACCACCACGTTTTTTTTCCTGTTCTTTTTAGGAATGCTGTGTTGATTTTATGCCAGATGTGAAGGGACTCAAACGTTCCAAAAAGTCAGTCCACACAGTAATTTCCCAAAAGCCTTGGAGATCATAAAGATGTTTCTTGGCAAATTTGAGACAAGCCTTTGTGTTCGTTTTGCTCAGCAGTGGATTTTTCCCCTCCTAAGGATGTCTCTTTCTTATTGCCGAATCATGAACTCTGACCTTAACTGAGGCAAGTGAGGCCTGCAGTTCTTTCCATGTTGTTCTTGCTCTTTTTGTGACCTCCTGGATGACTCATGAATGCACTCTCGGAGTAATTTTGGTAACACTGCTGGGAAGGTTAACCACTGTTCCAAGTTTACTCTATTTGTATATAATGGCTTTGACTGTGGTTCACTGGAATCCCAAAGCCTAAGAAATGACTTTCCAGACTGATGGATATCAATGACTCAGCTGTCTCTTTAGATTGCGTTGTTGTTTTTTGAGATCTTTTAACCTGCTTCACTTTGTCAGATAGGATCTACTTGAGCGGTTTCTTGATCTAACATGTCTCACAGGCCTGGGTGTGGCTAAAGAAATTGAAGTCAATAAATGTTGTAATTAAGGTAATTCAGGATTTCACAAGGGGAGCAATTCCTCACACAGGGCCAGGTTGGGCTGCTTAGTTCCCCCCTTTCAATGAATGAAATCATCATTTTGTATTCACTCCAGTTATCTTTGACTAATATTAAAATTAGTTTGATGATCTAAAAAAATAAGTGTGACAAATATCCAATATATTAATACACCAGGATGAATGCAAATATAGTATATACGAAATGCAGCGTTGAAAGTTCAAAGGTATTAGCTTTGAGGTTAAAGTGCAGGCTCTTAGTTCCGCTTTATTGAGATGATAAGAACCTGGCATTTAAGGGAACGAAATCCAAATAGATAGCAACGTTCACAAAGGGCTTTTTCAAAGCAGCTGGCATTACATGAAAACAAATACAGTGCTGGAAACTGCTGTCTACATACAATAGGGGGAAAGCAGCGATTAATTTATAACATATCCTGTCTGATTAGGGCGGAGCCTGCTGAGCGTGTTCTTTGGTCCGGACATTTGTTTTGCAAAACTGAAATTCAAATGAAAGAGGGTTTTTGACAGAAAACGTGCTGCCTTTCAAATCAGAAAAAACAAACAGTATTAAAGGTTTAACAAGTAATACTTTAACGACTAACTGAAGTCACTAAGAAAATGGGAAAGCGCAATTATATTGTTTTAACTTAAATTCTGCCGCTGACCCATTAAAGTGAAATCTAAAATCAGACGCAGTGAACATGTAACACGGGCTTTTTTTCCACTGCTCAAAAGGAAGTCGGTGGTTTATAACAGACCTTAAAACTTCTTCCCCCTGCTTTTAATGTTAGTATTGGAGACACGGGTGTGTTTAAGATCCGCGTGTTCGGTTAGTCAGACAAGTTTTTCCTGATCAGCCCTGCCTGGCGTGATGTTACTGAACACTTTTCACACATTGTCCAACATTTCCAACACTGTCGACGTGTATGGAGGCAGATAGCTGATTTCACCGTCTCAGAGCTAAGTCCAAATAATGTTTCGACACAATAAATACGCGTTTATCTAAAGTCCAGTTAGCCTGTGGCACATCAGCATCTGTAGCGAGGTAAATCTTCAACTGAGTACATGCTTGATAAAATCAACATACCTTAATCTCTGCGGCTAATCCCCAAATACAACAAATTTATGTCGGCAAACCGCCTTGAATGACAGCTCCCTGCTGTTTGGAGACCTGTGCACACCTGCTCCCTGCACCTCTAACCTGCACTGACGGATCACACATAGCCCCACCCCTAGTTTGCATAAGTTTCAGTGACCAAGTGACATCTCCATGAGAAACGGGCAGAAAAACAGAGGCTGTTTACAGACGGTGAGCTTTATTCAGCTACTCATTTGACAACAAAAAGATCAATACCGAGATTAATAGCGAGCAACAACCCGGTGACAACTTAAATATGCAGTTTTGTTAATATGTAAACTGTGTGCACAGTGGGAGATGCAGCAGCAGTGGCTTGTTTAAATGAACTTTGCACTCTTTTCAATAAATCTTTATTGCCATTCTTATCGTGCTTAACACACAGTCATTTGACATGTGAGGAAATCGCTACCTAAATGAAAAACGGAATGCTGTTTTAAAATAATCCTAATAAACAAAGTGTCATTGTTTAGGTGTGTGTGTGTGTGTGTGTGTGCGTGTGTGTGTGTGTGTGTGTATTTTGCACAAGAGAGTTATAGGATTTCACAGAACAATTTCTTCTCTCGAAACGGGTTCTCAGATGAAGGCACTGGAGTCACCAACGGGTCCTCTTTGGCATGAGCTTCACAGTAGGCCATCAGTTCAGCTGCTGCTTTGGATACCTGTAAAAGCAGACTGTGTTTAAGTGAGTCAGTGATCATAAAAGGGCAAGATAAGATGTTAAGTATGAGCTCATCTGTTCCAATACACACACAGACACACACA